CCCCAAAACCCCAAAACCCCAAAACCCCAAAACCCCAAAACCCCAAAATGCATATCAAGATTGAATTAGTAATGAAAAGTTGTGTAAATTATATCATTTGATTTTAGTAACTGTAAAGCTCATTTAGGATCATTAGCTTTGTAAGCATAGACTGTATCAAAACTAGCCTCACTTCAGACTCATACAAGTTCTCCAGGGTGTCCTTCGAGGTAGTTCTCAGCTGTCGAAACCGATTTGAGATCATTCTTGAGATATCCTACTGCTTGCACGTTGAAAGTTTGGTCAATAGCTATGAGTTCATTAATATTTTCATAGGTATACAGATAATCTAGTTCCTCAGACTAAGTCAGACTTACAAGGCATATTTCATGAATCGATGAATTTCCCTACTGGATATTCAGAAAAATCAGGTTTCAAAAATCTTGAATCAATTAACTCCGCTTCAGTTTTTACCCCAAATTTTGAGTCTATGTCATAAGCATGCTAAACCTACCGGAATTGAGTATTGCCCAGTACTGATCCTTCATGTGGTGTTTTATCAGCCTGATCAGTTGGCCTTTGTTGCATCTTAGCATTGTCTTGATCTTATTAACTTTTAAGGATTCACCTAAATTTTAGTAACTTAGCGTACACAAAAGTCTTGAATCGAGCCTAAATATTGTAGTATTTGCATACACCTTTGATCTATTTCTTTGAATCCTTGCTTTGGGGCTAAACTTGCTAAAAGCTTTTGTGAAGATTCAGCTGCTGGGGCTCAAGAATCTGTTGGAAGATGAAGAATTACTCCCTGAATAACCTCCTCTCGTACTTTCATGATCAAGAATGCTACTTAAGTTGAGCCTTTGAGGAGTAGAGCTTGGGTATAAAAGTTTAGTTTTTGCTGGAGATAACTTGTTTATTCCAGTATAACTCAATTTAGAACCCTGTTCCTTTGAGGTTCCCAGAGGCCCAACTTTGGTCTGAGAGTGATCTGAGCTTTGCAAGCTAATTCTTCACAATTTTCTTGGTTTAGGCTCTAAAGATCTTAGTCAAAGGCTTAGAAATAGCTTACCCTTTCATGTATTTGAGTTTTTAAAACTGACCATCTTTTTCATATTAAGGGCCTGGTTAGGTTCTCTTAACTGTAATAACTTGGTTGTTTACTAAATCTCCTGAATCAGTAGCAATAATAGGAGAACAGTCGATCTCTTGGGATGAATTTCCCTTCTCAGGAGTATCTACTCTTTGCTTTGACTTTGTAGGACTGTCTTCTAACCAAATGATTTCTTCGATCCGAGTCAACCTGTTCAGGTCAAGACTATCGTTCTGTCCCAACTTTGATGTATTTCTATTCCTTGTTCGCTTTATTTCCTCATCATCTTCTGATGATAAGATATCTTCTTGAAGCATCTTGTTTATCATATCGTCAACTTCTTGGTATGAAGACTTTAAGTCATAAGTGGCACGATTATTAGCAGCATTGTATGGAGAGCTTGTAGAAGAGTTCATTTTGAAAAATTAGAATATATTATATTATCTTTCAGTGTTAGGTAGGTTTACAGGGGTTTTGGGGTTTTGGGGTTTTGGGGTTTTGGGG